TTCACAGCATTTTGCTGTGAAGTTTCAAGTGTAAAATGTTGGTCTCACGGGTCTCACGAAAACAGGCTGGTCTCACATGATCCCAAGTCTATATATATATATACACGTTTTTTCCTCCAGAATTCGGGACAGACATTTTTTTTGGTTCTCTCTCAAGTTCGATCCATGATCACATAAGGAAACTCGATAGATTCGAGTTCTCGTGCAAGAACTGAATAAATAGTTGAATCCTCTAAACGAAATTACGCACAGGTAGGGGCGAAATTCTGGTTAAGGACACTGGGGTGCAGACCTCTATCTAATCATTCATCCTTCGTCAGTTTCAAGTTAGTAATTCTCTTTCTATGATAAGAATTTCGATATATTATACATATATTCACATACACATTTATTGTTTTTCCGTTTGATTTTACAAACGTTTTGCTCTCTACATATACATATCTATGTGAATTTTCCCGTTCTGTAACAAGGGTTCTAACACATATATGTTTTCTAATCTCTATATATAAATTCATACAATGAAAATAAACATAAAATACAAAATACAAAAATTGAAGTAGTACCTTAATGTACAACATTTTAATCGATAAAAGACTCATGTGCATGATACATCACAAATAAAAGACTCATGTGCATGATACATCACAACAAGACATCAATACTTACATAACAATAAATCACTAAAATACCATTTTTCTTTTTATCAAATTAATTAATACACTTTTTTGGCGAACAGATTTCTCAAATTCGACAGATTACTCCCACCTGGACCTTCACCGCCGGGAAGAATGCCGCTGCTGCGGATTTCTACTCCGGCGACACGTACGGTTTTGTCTTCTTGAATTTCGTCACTCCTACAACTCAAATGGTGGCGGTAACCGATACATGTCTGAACCTTCAGGTTTAACACCTTAGCCTTTGCTCCGACGCCGGATCCGGTAACAGTTGCATCACCGCCGGCCGTAGTCTTCTTGCTCCGGCGAGATTCGGGTTTTTCCTTTTTGAAAGCACCCTTTTCAGCAGCAACGCGAACTAAGTTGTCGTGTAAACTCCGACCCGACCCGACTCTCTTGATCTGCCACACCGGGCTACTCCGACCGACATGGACCCCACCACGGTTTGGGCTGCTCGGCCACTTCTTAGATTTGGATTCTCCGGCGGAGTTGCTCCTCGAGCAAGGCGCACTACTGACTTTCCGGTTGCTAGCCGGCGATCGCGGCCTACTCCCGCTGTTCCCGGCCGATCTGCTCCGCGAAAATGGCCATAAATTTATATTCAGCTCCGCCATACCCGTCCCACCATTTCTCTCATTCTTTTTCTTCTCTTTCTCTTTACTCACTGAGTTCTTCTTGAACATATCTTTCCATCGTTTGGGTGCGACCAATGTGGTTTCCGAGTCGGAAATGGGTCCGGAATTCAGGTCGGCGACGGTGGTTATGGTTGGAGGGTTAATGGTGGTGTCGGAGTTGCGGGTATTGAGTTGCTGAAGGGGGAGGAGAACACCGCCGGAGAACAATTCATCGGCAGAATGAAGGAAGGTTTCAGGGCAAGAGGGATTTCTGACCATCCAGAACTCGAATTCCGGCGAATTAGAGGCGCTGCTTCTTCTTCCACTGCTACTGGCGGAGAGAACTGTGGGATTTTCCATTTTACGGAGAGAAATTTGGAGATGGCAATTGTGTTCAGAGAAGTGAGGATGGATATGATGGTGACCCTACAAAGCATATTATATATATATATATATATGTATATATACATGTGTATGTGTGTATATATATATATATATATGTATATGTTAGTCTGTGTGTGTAAGGGGGTGGTGGGTGCACTGCATATGCGTTTATAGTTCATGAAAAGAAGAAAAAAACATGGATCACCTCAACCATGTAAAAGGATCCATAAAAAGATCTAAAACGAACTTCAAAAACTGTCCTAAATTTTCGCCTTATTAATTAAATTTTTTATTACTTTTTTTTAATTATATATAGGGACATTTTTTATAACATATAAAATTGTAATAACCTTCAGAATTGATATATATCATTTGTTATTTCATATGAATTTTTTTATTAAAAATTACAATTTAGAATAACGATTAACATAAATTTGTTTCAGAATATGTTGTTTTTACATGTACTTGTTTCATAATATGAATATTTTTAGTATGTTTGTGAAACAAAAGTTATACGTAAAAAAGTTTTACGTTGTGAGCCGAATACATATGAAGAAAACACATTATCAAACAAATATATTTTCATTAATACATTAAATGTTAGACTTAGATGAGAAAAAATCATGGGAAAAAATACGTTAGGATAGAAGTTCCTACGGTTATCACAATGTACGGAGTTTTTCAAATGATTAAACCCCTGTATATATACATATAATGGGGAAGGGTTCAAACGAGAACTCCTGTGATTTGTGAAAACGCGAGAACAATCCATTAACCTCATATCGTGGTAACAATAAAAATTAAAAGATTTTTTAATTAAAAATGAAATTAAAAACAATTCAAAAATATTTGAGAGGCAAAAGGGTAATATTGAAATTCAATGTGATAAAACTTTAAAAACACGATCACATTAAACTTGATAATATGGGATAACATAATAGGTTATTATGGTTATCGCTTATTTCAACACGATTTGGTATGATTTGGGTGTGATAATTATGTGATTATCACACAATTATCATAAGGATTCCGCTCGGCTAGAGTTAACTTGGAAAATCGACTACACAATTTGATGTGATATGGGCGTGATAATCATGTGATAATCAACTTCATCAAGGATTACAGTAACATACAATTTCAAATTGGGATGTTTATCACATGTGATAAATATCAAATTTCTCAATTACAAAACTACTATGACATTAAACTCAAATCAACATGAACCAAGAACTATAAATCGATTAAAAATGTTGACAATCACAATTTTAGGTACATTTTATCACATGTAATAAAAAGCCCATATCATTATAATCATAACGATAACAACCGATTTAGAAAAAAACTATGAAATATTATTGTTATCACACTATTATTGAACATTTATTATCATCAACAGAACTATCTTCAGATAATTTCAAATTAGGAAGTTTATCACATGTGATAAACATCAAAATTTCAATTACTAACCTACAACATTCAAATCCTCCATTCTAGGTCAGAAAAAATTTGGATACAATGAGCAGATGGAAAGAAAATGATAGCAGAAAGTGAAAAGGAAGAAAGTGATATAGTGAACGTGATCCATTCCAACCAACGTGAACGTGATCAATCCCAACAAAAAAGGATGGGATAATTCTAATTAATTTAAATAAAATAAAAGTTTTAAAAAATATCTGATTACATTACTACCCTTATTGACTTATTTGTATTTAATATAATTGTTGATCCTCTCTCTCAGTGATTTGATGATAATCTCTTTTCACTTTAACGTTGTGTTTATGTTTCTGTTTCTTCAGTTCCAGCGATCATCATTGAGCTTGTTCAATGATCGTTGAAGAACTTGTATTGTTATTCAATCAGAGACAACAAATACTTCAAGAAGACAACACTCACACCAAAGAACCTTCAACTAACGTCGAAGACTGAAACTGAAGATTAGAGACTGGCGAGTACGTGATCTGACGCGGTACTCAGTGATTACAAGCCTGTCTACATATGTGTGAAGACTTCTCAAGCTTCAGCGAATGATGAAGAGACCTTCAGGTCATTCCAGTATTCAGCGATCAAAGGAAGCTTGCTTAGCACGATTGTTGTTGTCTTGTCCTTATGCATACAAAGGACAAACACATACCCTTATAAATGTTGGTATGGTACGGAGCCGACTAGTCGACTCTATTGTTCACCAACTTTAGGTAAGGATGTCTGCCCATGAATAGTGCTTTTTATACTATTTACTGTAGCAAAGGACAAGTCTTCCTCTTAAGGCTTGACACGCACTCTAACCCTACCATATTGTATTAAATGTTCATTTAATGTATTATGTATAAATAGAAGTGTTTCTTCTTCATGCAGAATGCGCACAACTCACTCTCTAAACCTAATTCTTACTTCAAGCATTTTCTAGCTTAAGTAAAAGATCTTCTCTTTACAACATTTCTTTTCTTATTTGCTAAGAACTCGTATGTAACTAAAGGTTGTTTAGATATGTTTTTGTTGCCTTATCTTTCTGCAAACAATCTTATAAAATCTGTATTGATCTTCTTTATCAATATATATTTTAAATTTGAAAATATTGTGTTTGTATTTATCCCCCCTTCTACAAACCGTTTTACCATTCTTGTAGACCCTCAAGGGACCAACAAGTGGTATCAGAGCAGTGTTTTCTTCTCTCTTTCTGTTTAGCTGTTTTCTGTATTAGTTTATCTCTTTTCTTAGATAACTTTACCACCTACAAATGGATTTACAACTTACAAACACACATACACAAGATAATGGCTCTCTTGCCAAACCTCTCCGGTTTGTCCGTGACAATTTTAGTCTTTGAAAGAACCGGATGTCCCTCTTTCTTGAAGGTGTGGATCCTGAAATTCCACATTACATAGAAAATGGACCATATATATTTCATTTGCTATTACTCCTGCTGTTTCAGCAACAGCTACGACTGTCGCGATTCCTGAACTGCAGATTTCAAATCTCCCACATCAATGAAGCGATGAAGACAAGAAGAAAATAGCTATAGACACGCGTGCTCGATCTATAATAGTTATGTCTCTTCCTGATGAGATTTATCACTCAGTGATGAAACTCAAAACCTCTAAATCCATGGGGGACACACTTTGTGTCCAAAATGAAGGAAACCACTCAGGTTCAAGAGACCAGAAAGATCAATCTAGTAAGACAGTATGAAAGCTTTCTCTGTGGAAAGTCTGAGACGTTGTCTGAAGTACATCAAAGACTTAACTGTCTTCTTATTGATCTTAGGGCTGTTGGCAGGGAATATTCCAACTCAGGAACTTTAACTAAGTTTCTGGAATGTCTTCCTGAGTCTTGGGATACTTTTTCTATGTGTCTCAAGGTGTCCAATGACATGTCCACTCTTTCTCTTTCTATTTTATACGGGATTCTACTTAACCATGAGCAATCTCGTCAACTGAAGAGGAATCTTGTAAAAGATTCCAGGGAAATGAAAAGCTCTCCTTTGGCTTTGATCTCTGAAGCTTCTTCAGTTGAAACTTCTTCTACCCCTTTTGTCTCTTTTCTTCCTCCCGTTGTTATCACGGAAATAGATTCTTCTATCTCTGAGGAAATTCCAGAATCTGACTTGGCAGATTTTGATGAATCTCTAGCCTCCTAACTAAGTCTTTCAGGAGGTTTGCCAGTAAAAACAACTTTGCAGATCTCCTCAGCTGTCCCTTAGGGAAAAGCCAAAGTCTGAAATAATAGACAAGGCTTTAGCTGTCTGCTATAATTGTCACCGGCCCGGACACTTTGCAGGTGAATGCAGATCAAAGAAGACTGCGATGCCATCTTCCAAGGCACCCTCCTCCTTCAGGACCAAAGATGAGAAGTACCTGAAACTAAAGGAGAAATATAGGAAGGTGAAGAACAACCAGCGAAAGGCTAAAGGCCTTGTTGCTGAAGAGCATGACTGGGCTGAGTCATCCGATGAATTATCTTCAGATGAAGAGGATACATCTTATATCTGCTTGATGGCCATAGATGCAAATGAAGGATCTTCAGAAGCATCTACTTCCTCTGAGCCATCTTCTTCTACTACTCAAGTATGTTTCCTGAATGAATCCTCTTCCAGTCTTTCTATGCTGACGGTTAACCTTTACAATGCCCTCAATGGCAAATCAAAAGCAGAAATGTTTAACGTAGATCTTCAAGAGCAATTGAAGATTTGCCATTCTAAGATCAAAGAACTGACCTTTGTCGAGGAAAATCTTAAAGATCAGGTCATTGTAAATCAAGCCATCACTGTTGAACGTAAGAAGGCTATCACTGAGCGTGAGCGAGTAATCGCTGAACTCAAGGCGGAGAAGCTACCATTGAAGGGTGGTGTAAAGCTTCCATCAAAGCCTCTGAGATCATTAACGCTCAGATCCCCGCCAAGATAACGACTGGTCTAGGATTCTCCTGTGATTAGGAAGAATGTGTTACAGACAGGTCCATGCTCAAATTTGGCACTTTCGTCTCTTCTATTCCCAACACCTCTTCCTCTTAGTCTTCTTCTTTTACTGAGAGACATCTTGAAGGAACTCCTTCGAGTTCTGGGTGCAAAGACAAAGGAAAATCCATTGTCATGGCATCCCTTCCCAAGAAGTCTAACAAGTCTAATAGATCTAAGTCTATTCCTTCAGCTTGTAAAGCTTCTTCCTCTTCAGGGACTAGAAAGTCTGAATCCCGTCAAAAATTCAAGTCACAACTCAAGGTGAACTTTTTACCTAAGGAATCCAATTCCTCAAAGGTTCCTCCTAGAACTAATGAGAAGGGAATCCTTGGAGCTGGTCCCGCTTCAAGTCTGATACTTCTTTGCCCTAAAGCTACTCTCAACTTTAGGAAGTGTAAACACTGTGGTGAGAAAACACATATTGCCAGCAAGTGTCATTCTTCTGCCAAAGCTGGTTCACCAGCTAAAGGTAAGAAATTAGCCAAGGTTGAGAAATTAACCAAGGTGAAATCATCCACAAAGG